AAATCGATACGCTGCTACGATTGGCTGAAAGCGTATTTTGGAAGGCGGGTACTAGCTGGCGCATCCCCCAATCAGCTGGAAGTATTGTATTAAACTTCCTTTTCATGGGCAGAATGAACGGCGGCCGTCCCAGATTGATAACGAAGAACTCAAATCAGTTCTACACATATCAATCTGGTTACTGCCATGTTAACCTCTCACAGCCATGGACTAAGAATTATAAGGCATGAGAAAATATCCAACTGTAAGAGATGTTGGGATGTTTCTGAATCCAAGCTGAAGCCTGTAAATAACAGGGGGGGCAAAGAGCGCACCTTAAGGAACCCCGCATGATCTGACCTACTGTAGCTGAGGAAGGTTTAGGTGAACGTCTTTCCTAACCTGGAGGTAATCTGAGAATCTTGATTGTCGATGCTTTCATCTTCCTTCCCCTCCTTGTGGTTTAAGAGGACATTCAAACTCTGGGCATCCTTGATATCTGGACAAATAATAGCAAAAACGGATAAAACAGATTACTTTGATATGAAAGAAATCATGTCTTTAAAGTAACAACCAATTTTACAAAGTTCTAAGTAAGTAAAAGAAAAAAACAAAAGCTTTTTGTTTAGGTTGAAAACCTTTTTTTGTGGAACATTAATTTGCTTTACATTGACAGATTGGTTGTTTACCCATTGCTGCATCCATACTTATTTGCTGATCCTCCTGCTTGAGTCTCTCATGTCCACCAGCTTCACACGGCGGGAACAGCGGTATCTCTGGAACACAAGGTCAGAAATACTTACTGATAAGAAAATGAAACAAGATTTAAATATTATTCTATAAGTTAATGAAACAGACTGATCACCATTAAAATAAGAATAATTTACTTAAAATGTAACAGACCGTAAAACAATGGGAACTGATAAAAAGCTGAAATAGACGAATTAGTTGCTGCATTAATGTGGCCATTAAATGCGGTCTCCAGCCGTGTTTTACCATGTCTGAGTTAAGCCTAACGATGTGTCAACAGTCTTTGTTTTGCAATTTGATTTTATAAAGAAATAATATGATTTTCAGTTATTCTGTCCGACTTCTATCAGGAAAACTATACAGAAATATTTAATAAAAGGAATAAAAACTGTTTGTTCCCCTAAACTATGAAGGTATTTGTGTCCCCATAGTAACACTTCATCGAGCCTTCACACCCCCTCCACAAATTAACACAAAAAATATCAAAGAGACAACAAAACAAACTGCAGCCTCCCTCAGGAACTGCTCTACATCCGCATTTATATGGAAATACTTTCCTTCAATGTTTATGTCTTCTAAATGTGTTTTTTTTTTTTTTATAAATTCTCACTTAAGTTTTGTGGAATCATATTTTTCCATGGACTGTTTGTGAGATAAAATGATTAAAGTGTGCCTTTTCTCTGCCTGAATAGGGGTAATTATTTAGAAGCCTTGTTCCACTCTTTATGCTGAGATGTAGGAAAAGGAAGGAGGTTTGAAAAGAAGTTTCCTCCCTAGTTTAGATAAGGGGGAAACATAGATAAACATGTCCTTACTGTGTTCAAGGTTCTCACGTGTGAACAGATAACAGTTGTATGAAATGTTTATCTGACTAAATTTATGTCTTTGATGAACTGAAGTGTTTCTCTTGGGAAGACTCAATGTTGGTGTGTGAGAATTCTCTTTATATGCAGGGGTGGGCAGCTACCTCACCAGAGCCACACTGACAGTTCAGCTGTTTGTGTCGTTCTCCTCTGCAGAGTAAAATAAAATCTTTTTCTTCCTTGCGTATATCCTCTCAGTGCTCATTTTTAATTCACAAATTGGCGTCACGAAAACAAGATTATTTGCTGATCCGTCCATTCTGTGGATTCTAGAAGAAGGGCTGTTATAGTTATGCTACATTTCTGTCCTGTGATTTAATCAGGAGGGTCATAAACTTTTATGACCTGCATCCAGTAGGTCATGAGGCAGAGTCACACGGTTGTG